AAAAAAAAAAAAAAATCGACGGGCAAATACTCCAATGTTTTTTATAATATGTTGACCGACGTATCCAGTTGATTCGAACAGTTTCACCGGCGGAGAAATTGTTTACATCCGATCGATTTCCCAGCTGACCAAGGGAAACTCATCGCGCCTGAATTTTTCAACGAAAAATCATCCGTCCGTTGGGTGTCTCTGTCGGATTATCACAGACCTCTCGATCTCTGATTCGATTCACTCGCGTGAGAATGGAATATTCAATGCGTCGACTGTTACGTTTTTACTCGAAAGCATCGAACGGTTTGATACTTGGTGATTAAATAGAATTTAAATAGATTTTTAGTTCCTTGGACCGAGAAGAAATTTGAAACTCAAGGGTAATAGAAAAATATAATCGTAATTTCTATAGAGCTTAACTGATTGTAAGAAGAAATTTAAGAAACTCGAGCTTGGTAATGAAAATATATAATCAGAATTTCTATGAAGTTTAACGTGAGATTGAAAAGAAATTTCAAACCTGAGTTTGGTATTAAAATTGTAAATTCTGCAGAATTGAATGCGTGCCTTGTTATTTGTTTATTATTTAGAGAAATTTCAATCGTGATGTAGTATCATCGATTGATTTTTGTAGCTGGCTGGTAAGATTCGTTTAATTACGAGGTGCAGAGTTCAGGTACGGGGGAAAATTCAGACTTTGTAAAAATTCCCAGACGTCATTGTAAGTTCATTAGAATATAAAAAAGAAGATGCGTGAGAGAGAAGACAGAACTCACGGTTAGTTTAAGTTGAAGTTTAATTCTACGAATCACCACGATAAATATACACATATATGCATATGTAACACTTTTTTTACAGTAATTAAAAAAAAAAATACATATATGACTGGAATCATTTGGAATAAAATCGGCAAAGTATGTCCAGTCTTCGAAAATATTTATAGGTTTGAAAATTCGAAATTCGAATGTCTGGGACGTTTTAAAAATTTGAGACTCGATAATATTGAAACGCTGAAAAATCCGAGAACCAAAAAAGATTCGAGATATTTTACAAATTTGAGGACCGAGAAACTCGAAAACCAAGAAAATCCAAAGAAACGATTGAAACGTTTGAAAAAAAACCCTTCCGCCCCCAAAGCAATATAAAATATAAAATCGAATTCAAACTAGTTAAATTAATAAAATTCAAATTTAAATAATTAGAAAGAAAGGGAAAGGGTATTCGGAAAGTACTTCTCTTCTCGCGAGATTAATCCGACAGGCACCCGCTTCGATAATAACCCCCGGCCGCCCCCGGTTTGATTTTCTGCTTTCAGTGGTGGCGAGACCACCGTAGCTTGAGGGTCGGAGAAGGTGACGAAGCGGGAAAGAGAGTGGTGTATTCGGCGGAGCGAAGTTTCTCGGTGGAAGATTCGGTTGAGGAAGAATGGACGAGAGTCATCAGCAACAACATCAACAGCAGCAGCAGCCACTGCTTCGTTCGATCAACAACGTGCATAGATCGTTCGTTAAATTCATCAACAAGACCCTGCACAACGTCATCCTCTACTGGATCGATTATCAAGGCCAGGCAATCAGCTACGGTGTGCTGTCGCCTGGCGATTGCCTCGACATCAACACGTTCGTTACGCATCCGTGGATCTTCGTTGACCAAGAGACCGGAGACAGGTAGGATTCTTTGCAATACACTCTCTTCATCGAGGACTTCTCTTCCCTCGCGGAGGATCCCTCAGAGGGGAGGGAATTTCTTAAACGTTGAACTTTGTTTCTTCCTTGTGTCGTAACGTTTGGATGCGTGTTTGCGTCATGGGGCAACACGTTAGAGTAAGGTTTGTTCGCTCTTCTCTTCGCGTTTTCTTCGGTCAGATGCGTGACGTCGCGAAGGAATTGTCGAGTAGCTTTTGAATGATCGAGCAGAGGATGATCGTTAGAGGATATAGCAGTGATACAGTGTTTATCTTTTGGATATCGTTGTATCTATTCTGTCAGAGCATCTTCAACAGAATTCACCTGCGACAGCCAAGATCAAAACAGGTTAATTTTTGCAGAATTTTGTTAATTACGAGGATCTGTGCGTTTTCGTTGGGCGTCGAACGAAGAAAGAGTTGATTTGAAGACGTAGTTCTTGATTTTGGTTAATGCTTACGTTTATGGAAATGTAATTTTAACTAGCAACCGATCTTTTAACTATAAATGATGTTTTAATTATAAGAAGCTATTAACTATAAGTGAACGTAACAACACTTATATGATAAGAAATTGATTACTCGTCAGTTTTTTTTTCTTTTTATTAAAATCATCAGTATCCTCGTTTCAAATTTTTATTTGGTTACCTTATTTTCTTTGCACGTTAATCGAACCAAAAGAAATCCTTACTGTGGAAGGAGCAGATAGCTGTTTTGTGAATGATGTTTACGCGAGTGCGTTTTCTGATTGTGAATTGGAGTCGTTCGAATCCAATAATGACAGTGATACAGGCAGCGATACTCCAGTACAATTGAAACGAATAACAGAATAATAACAAGTGACGAAGAGTTTGACAGTTTCATCAATATCATATATCAATAAGTAATATTTTTTATATTTACACGCATATATAAATAACACGGATGCTTGCTGTACTCAGCTACAGACTTTTGGAAATTAAATGCCATTGGTGTTCAGCCAAATGTCTCGTCCTATAATCGTTTGTCGCGAATGTATTAAAACACAGCTGGCTAACTGGCGGCCCCCCTTCCATCGCTAGCGTTACCCCCTCCATTGCACCGATCTCCCCATTTATTTGAAAGGGAAATCAACAGACTGAGAGAGTGGGGGTCACGCACGGCGAGGAAATGTGGTGGAGGGGATAGCGCTAGTGATCAGGAAAGTAGGGGCAAGAGCCGCCAGTTAGCTAGCTCTACGTTAAAACAACTCCAATTGATCGTATAAATGAATTGAAAGTTAATTAAAAAATTAAAAGTTAATTCTTAGCCACAATACTTAAGCAGTAAGTAGGTAAAATTCCTGTTGGAATGGAAATAATTGTCGTTCGTGACGTAAAAGAAGTTCAGTATCTCTTTCATCTTAGAGAAATCAACATACCAACGTAAAAATTCCAAGTACTCACTTCGTACAAATTCTTTCTTCGTTCGACACTCTTGACCTCTCACCACGAACCACCTTGATCAGCCATCATTTTAATATTATACAAAGTTCGATTAGATAGTACGATTAGATCGCAGATCTCCTTCGTTGATCGAAGAATCGGGCGCACGAAGGACAGCTGGCTGGACGAGCTGGGGATTTTCAGGTACATGGTGAACCAGAGGGACGTGTTCTTCCCGGAGCCGTGGTTCGCCAGGTATCAAGGGCTCCGACAAAGCGAGCTGCCCCAGAGGCGCGAGCGGACCAACGTCTACATCACACTGCCGGTTTACACTCTGCGCGAGCTGTCACTCAGGGCCATCAAGCGGCGGCTGACGCACGCTCGGCAGGCGTTTCAGCTCGACATACCGAGGAGCCTTCAGTACGAGCTCGCGACCATGCTGCCGAGGAACGAGGAGGACGAAGACGCGGCCAACTCATAGCGATCGATCCGATCGGCCGTCAACGACAGCTCATCTGATCCCTGGATCCATCGTGACTTCGCCATCTCACTCGAAGTCGAACTCGCTTCGATTACCGATCGAACGATTCCGCCAGTGCGGCCGGCTTGCTGTTGGCTTTGGCCAACGCCGGTTTCGCGAGGGAAAACGTCTTCCGGTCTATTGGCTTTCGAGAGGAACTTAGTTTGGGGTTTCGGGGCTGCCGCGTTGTAGCCTCAGGAAATTGGTCTTCCTGTCGGGATATTTCACCTGCGGGAAGGGATTTTTCCCTTCTCTGCGTTTTTCCAGGGATTCTTGAACGTGCGACTGCGAGTTTGCAACCTTGTTGCCGGTTCGATTTGCGGTTCCGCGCCGTCACCTCTGCGCGATCGTATTCGAGCGCTTGTCGTTGGGATCGTTTGGAATTTCATTGGCACTTGCAGCGTGATGCGGATTTTGTGCATTTAGTGCTGCTTATGGAAAATTGACAGGTACAACAGGTGAAACGAATTCTTTTTCAAATTTTTTCTATTTTTTTTTTTTTTTTTGTTTCTCTTTTTGCGACATTCAGAGGAAAATTTTAAAATGCATGAAACCGCATCTTACAATTGGCGACGAGACGCGACCAAGTATTTTAACTTTAAGTGTTGTTAAGATTCGAAAGAACGTTGAAAATTTATCGGCAGATATCGTTAAATAAATTAAAACGATTTCGTAGTAAACGAAACATCGAGGATGCAATGCGGCATTGATTTTCAGACAATCGTCAAGAAAAAAGAAATATACAAGACTTGTTGCAAATATCAGTTGTTATATTAACATTTAAATAATCGATATTGTAATTGCCAATATTTTTTAGCTATCGTTTTAAATTCGTATTATTATGATTATGTCTTGTTACAGTGTGAGATTTTGAGAGGTTTTCTACGATAGTGCTTTCTACGACTTCAAAATTTTCATCCTATTTAGCATTTAATGAATACAGATCTGAATTGAGATTCCAACACTTCATTTTTAATCTACGTGGGTTCGTCTAACTTCCAAAACAAAATGACGTTCAAACAACAACAATTCAATGTTGTCGTTTAGTCTTGTTGTTCAAAGTTTCTTAACATAATGAAAAACAAAAAAATCGTACAGCAAGTTTTAAGTGCTCGTTGCAGTTTAGTTACAGGAAAGATTTTTTTTTTTTCAAATTTGAAAGAATTTGAATTTTGACGATTTTCGAAAAGAAGGGAGCTCTTATTTCTGTCATCGTGTGATATAAAAGCATCCGTGAAATAAATGAACTCATTGCTGTCAAAAAATATAGGCTTCATTGTTTGAAACGACGTTACATAAATTGTACGTACGTTTTTCTTTTCTCACAAAATTATGATAATTTGAAGTATCGTCTATGAAAAAAATAGTTGCGTGAATTTTTGACTAATGTACAATATATATATATATATACACTGTCGTGCATAAATAATCGAACACCTTGTACAATTTCATTAAAATATCGATAGTTATCTGTTATGTTTCGACAGTCTCCTTACTGTCAATTTTCCGCATTTTCAAGTTTATTTCATATTTATTTCTAATAAATTACTGATAAATACAAACTCCAATAAATTGGCTGACGCCGTCAGTTTCTCAATGTATGGTTAGAAACATATGTTTCAATCTTCTTAAAACCTTAACGATGAATATATATTCACTTTATAAAAGTCTATTTTTTTAATTATTGATTTCATGAGAGAGTGATAGAATGTCACGATTAAAGTTGCAGAAAATTTCTTAGTCTTAAAAAGAGTATGAAAAGCCTAGCGTATGTCTTATAATAAATTGAGGTCCGATTGTAATCGGTAAAATAAAAGGGGTAGATTTGATTACGCAAGTGTGATTCCCTATAAATTCAATCTGTAACGATAGGATCGAGTTAATAATAAAACACGAATAAAATTGAACGTGAATGAATTCGAACTATGCTCAGAAATGATTAAACTCACCCTGCAGGATCTTCAGCCACGTTTCATTTCATCATCATTCTTTTTATCAATATCTATTAACTGTATGTGAAAATTAAATTAACTGATGTTTCAACTTTCGTTTAATGACTGGAGTTTACACCTGACTTGTACCCAATCGATAGACAGAAATGTTTCCGCATCGGGAGCATAATGAGATAATAAACGATTGGATACAATTTCAGGTGCTGATAAATGAACTGCGAATATTTGTGCATTCATGGGAAATTTTCACATGCAAAATTGTACAAACGAAGATAGAAGAAATAGATAAAAAAACGTTGTATTTTCTATAATATTCCAGTTGACATTCCGTCAAGTACCGTTATTTTAATTATATTCGCGGATTTACGTAAAGGTCGTTTCACAAAGAAAGGGACTTGACAGCTGCAGGGTCGAAAGGACTCATTTTAAATTGCTTAAATCTTCGGGTGTTCAAATACTTATGTACGGCGGTGTAGTTCCGGGCGCTCGAATTGTTGAATAATTCAAGAGAGGCGCAAGAAGCAGGAGAATCAGGGGAAAAATCCTTCGGGGGAAAAAAAATATTTCCACGGGGGAGTGTCTCGGATAGTTGGAAACAAGCCGCGTCGCAAATCGTTGGTTCGTGTCCCCCATTCATCGAAAAACCCACCGATAATAATGAATTACGTCGCTTTCCTCTCGGAAATACTGCGACGCATGTACATACGTGTAATATATGTATTTTATCGTTCGAACGTTTCGAGCTTATCGGCGCGCGCTGAATTCCTCGAGAGCCTGCCCCCGTCTTCCGGTGAAGATTCCGCGCGTGCACAGAAAAAAAGAAGAAGAAGGAAAAAAACAAATGAATTAATTCAAGTTTCGACGATTATCAAATCGCTGAAGATGCTTCCAATACTTGTTTTTTAAGAAAAATCCTTCGATGCCTCCGATGTTTCTTTTCACGTTGATATTTTTGTCAATCCTCATCCGTCCCTCCGTGTCGATTCGGCACAGTTTTCTTATGAAACGCGGGGACCGAGAACGTGGCATTCTTTATTTATTTTTGAAATTGAGGATTTGAAATTGAACTCGGAACTTCTCAGTGGAGAGAGCTTTGAAAGCGATTGGATAGTTCAACGTTTCGGTTGCAAACGACCGAACAATTTTTTTCATTGCCCGATAACTATCGTCCGGGGATCGTAGAACTTTTTCGAAAAATGTTCTTTCGTACATCACGAATCCCGATAAATACGAGCAGACAAATAAATGTTCTTGAAAATAAATGTTTCGGACAGTATAGAACTTACGAGATATAAAAGTAGAAAATTTTCCCGTCGAAGTTTCAATATCATCGTTACTGAAAAGATTTTCAATATTGGTAACAGTTGAACATTACTCACTAATAAATATTTTGAAATAACTTGTTTCCGTGGAACTTTTATTATACAAATTCTGAGATATCTGCTCCACGAGAGCATTGTTCAAAAGTGTTCCTGAGTGTAACACTTTTTTCTAGAAAAACAGATACTTTTTTTTTATACGAGAAATATATATAAGTTTGGAGGGAATATTTTTTTGAAAGAAATTTTTTTTTTAAATTTTGAATTGTTAATTTTGACTTCTGCTATTATTGACGAGGAGAATTTTTACTTCGGTCGCTCGTAAAGCAATGTAAAGTGTAAAATATTGTTTTCCACTCGACTGAACACAGTCCTCCGCAACTGCATGAAAAACTTTTGAAACTGGCGGTGTTACTTTCTCGTGTAAATCTCGCGGAAATTGACAAAGACAGAGAATCGAAATAAATTTCCTTTATCAATAATGGTTATTGGTCAACGAAAAAAATCTGTCGGTCGCTTAGAATTGTTATTTGTAGTCAAAAGGTGACTTTATACATTACAAGTTTCCCCGTTCCAATTGTAATAGTTATGGTTCTTGACAAAATGCCTGTGAAACGTGTAAAATCACAGTGTAAAAAGAGAAACTGAACCTCTACATCTATACCTATAAAATAAAATATGAATAAAAATTTAAAATTAGTTGATAAAAGAAATATATAATTGCAAATATATAATTATCAAATGTACGTCTTAATGACTCTTAATGATGGCTTGTGTAATGCTACCAGAAATTATTCAACTCCAACGACACGAAATTTCGTAAATTTTAAACGAAATCAACGTGTGACTGTTTACTATTATTTACCATTACTTGAAAATGCATTATTAAACGTAATTTAAATCTATGGGGATTGTCGAAATTAGGATTATTAGAGATCGTCGTCTCTGAAATATTGGAGGAATGTGGGGACGGATGAGGATTCAGATGAATAATGAAGAAATAATTGAAAGAATCTTGGAACGAAATTTCGTTTCGTTGCACTTCGCGTATTTTGTATTTTCGTATATTTCGCTATGCTTTTACACTTTTAAATTCCCCGCGTAAGTGCGTAAAAATTCACACTCTCGATCCATTCGACTCGGTGGGCTACGAAGAAATTTCGTTTGCCAATTGGCCCCCTCCGATGCCATAAAAAATTCAAACGATCTTTCTCCGTTGAAAAAATTTATTCAACGAGCGGGACAAACTCGGCGATCGAGTTGAAAACGATTCAAAGAACATCACAGAGGGGCAAGCGAGATATTCAGCCCCGTTTCAATCCTTTGATATCGTTTAATTCCTGCTAGGCATTTTCCATCCACGTTGCGCGTCGAAATTTCAATTTGTCCGATATATAACACACGTTAACATGTTAACACCGTTCAAAGCTCTTGCGCAAAGAAGCTTTCGAATATCCAATTTGGCGTGGAGAGAGCTGCGCGTGTTTGACACAC